CTGCCAGTCCGAAACGGCACCTGAACAGACAAAAATAAGACAGCACACACACACAAAAAAAGGGTAAGTAAAATAAAACCTATCTACCTAGTGTGTTGCCTAGGGCCTGGAGGGCCGCCGTGGGCCTCGAGGGCGCGTGCTGGATGGTGCGCGGTCTGGGGGCCCTCAGCAACCGTCGGGCCCTTCGAATGGGGCCCGTGTGCAGGCGCAGCATTTAACACCCCCCCCCTCATTATGAAGTCAAGCCTGTCGGGGGCGAAGCTGACGATCTGAAGGCAGTACTTGGACGCGAGCGCGGCATGGAGCCGAAGATGCCGGCTTGCCTTTCAACTTTTGTTCATAGCGTGCGAGAGCATCAGGCGCTGTTGCCTGAAGTTCCGCACGAGTCAGCCATCGGTCAGCTCTATGGGTGCATTCAGTCGGCCTGTTGTCGTACCGTGGCTGCGATATGATGTCGCCAACCTCTTGGAAACCGTCCATCGAGGGTGGGTCTTGCGATTGTCGCCCAGGAAAGTCGTCAAGTTCCGATGGCGTGTAGATAGAGCCAACTTGGAACAGTGAAAGACCGGGTTGACGGGCAAGTGGGCAGGCACCTGAATGATGAACGAAGGTCCTTCGGGTGCGTCCGCAGCGGGTGCCACGATCGGCCAGGGCCCCATCCATTTCGGAAGGAGCTTGTGAGAGATATCTTGTTCGAGGCTGAATTCCGCGGCGGAAACCCAGACGAGGTTGCCGACGCGGAATGGACAAGGAAGACGCTGGCGGTTGGCCTGTTGGCGCATACGTTGCTGCGTCTTTGCCATCTGGTCGCATGCCTTGATAAGAAGTTCTTGCATCCGACGAATGAAGAGAAGATGGTCGTCGCTCTCGGCCGCCCGTGGAATGATTGTGTCCAACGAAGAATTGACCGGCGAGCCATGCTCGAACTCAAAGGGCGACATCCCGATAGCTGGATGGATGGACGAGTTGTATGCCAACTCGACATCCGGCAGCCGCTCAACCCAATCTTTCTGGTCGGGTCGGATGAGAGTTCGAAGGAGAACCTGTGTGGTCTGATGTGCCCTCTCCGTTTGGCCATCAGTTTGGGGGTGGCGAGCCGAACTTGGCTTGAGGGATGAGCCCCATCGTTTGATGAGCGCCAACCAAAAATCGGACATGAACCGAGTGTCGCAGTCGCAGACGATCTCGTTGGGGTAACCCTTGGTTCGAATCCAACCGGCGTAGAGAACCTCGGCCAACTCCGGTGCCTTGGCGTGATAGCGGCAAGACAAAAACATGGCAAACTTGGTGAGTCGATCAACCACCGTGAGAATCCCATCCACGCCCGTCTTGTGCTTGGGGAACGGCCCGGTAATGTCCATGGCAATCGCTTCCCTTCGGCGCAAGGGGACCGGTAATGGTCGCAGTTCGCCGTACGGACGATGATTGCATGATTTGCAACGTCAGCAAACCTCGCATGACTCGCAATAGCGTGTGACGTCGTCGAGAAGACGAGGCCACCAAAAGCGCTCGCGAGTCGGGCAATCATGCGATTGACTCCAAAATGTTCGGTGGCGGGGGCGTCGTGGAACTCGCCAAGGAGCCGCGTGCGCAAGTGTCAATCTTGCGGCACACAAAGTAGATCCTTCCCCCGTGAGTGAACGAGCAAGTATCCCTCTTGGATCCGATAGTGCGAAGGCGCCGGATTGGGAGAGGAACAATTTGCGTACTTGTCGCAAAATTCGGGGTCGGCTTGATAGCCGCGGATGAAGCTGTCCCGCAAGTCGTCCTCGATCTCGAAGGTTGAGTAGACCACGGTGCAGTGGTCCGGACGCCGTGAAAGGGCATCCACAAAACGGTTCGACTTCCCCGGCATGTGATCGGCAAAGAAGTCGAATTGGTCAATGAAGGCCATCCAACGGGCGATGGTGCTGTTGATGGTGTCCTGAGACTTGTAGAAAACCAATGGATTGTTGTCCGTTACCCATCGGAACTGGCGCCGACCGAGGAGGAAGTGTCGCCACCGCTTGAGTGCGTGGACGAAGGCGAGAAGTTCCTTCTTGCGTGCATCATCGATTGAGTGCACGGCCGACACTTCCTTGCTGAAGTATACGACCGGGTGCCAGTCCACGCCGTCATGTTGCTCGAGGACGGCACCAATGTCATAGCCGGATGCGTTCGTGGTGACGCGCGTTGGCATTTCGGGTCGTATATCCGCAATACCTCCGCAGAAAGCAATGCGGCCTTGAGGGCCAAGAATGATTCTCGCGCGTCCGTCCCGAAGTCAAACGGTCGGTCCTCGCATTGAAGCTTGGTTAAGTGAGCCGCGATCTTCGAGTACCCTTTGATGAAATGTTGGTAGTAGCCGGCAAGGCCAAGGAAGGATCGGACATCCCTGACGTTCCGTGGCTCCGGCCAATCTTGGACGGCTTGAATCTTGTCCGACAACGGACTGATGCCTTGTGGAGTGACGAAATGGCCCAAGTATTCCAACTCTTGGCGTACGAATTTGCACTTGTCGTGGTTGACTTTGAACTTGGCATGCCGGAGTGTCTCCAACACTCATCGAAGGTGATCAAGATGTTCCTCCAAGGTCCGGCTATAGACGAGGATGTCGTCCAAGTAGACCAGCACGAACCGGTCCAACATTGCACGAAACTCATTGGTCATCGCTGCTTGAAAAGTCACCGGGGCGTTGGTGAGTCCAAAAGGCATGACGACCCACTCGAAGTGCCCGTGCCACGTCTTGAACGCGGGCTTGTAGCGATCTTGTGGCCGAATCGAGATCTGATGAAATCCCGACTTCAAATCCAATTTGGAAAAAAATTTCGCGCCGCCCAAGCGCTCCAGAAGGTCGTCCCGCGTTCTTGACGGTTTGCGTATTGAGCTTGCGGTAGTCGATGCATAGGTGAAGGTCCTTGTTCTTTTTCCGAACGAAGAGAACCGGCGCACCATAGGGTGAGCTGCTAGGCCGGATCCATCCTTTGTCCAACAAGTCGTCGAGCTGCGCGCGGAGTACTGTAAGTTCCTCCTCACTCATGCGATAAATACGACCTTGGGGCGGCACAACACCAGCCTCGATAATGATCTCGTGCGAGATCGGCCGATCCGGCACCATGCCGGTAGGTGACTCGAAGACGTCAGCGAATTCATCGAGCAACCGCACCACCCGGGGGTCTGAAGACAAGTCCGTGGGTTGACATTCGGCTACCGCGACGGTTCGAAGAAAACATAAGGCTACCTCTTCCGTCCGCTCGTAAGCGCAAGTGGCCCGAAAAGATTTGGTTGTTACAACTTGGCACCGGATCGAAGGGTGCGGGAGAGGAATAGTACATGGTACTTCGGCGCCAAACGCGTCGCGAACCGTAAGTGTCCGCCGATAGAAGTTGACCGTGTGATCCGCACTTGCAAGCCAAGGCATGCCCAAAATGATGCTAAGTCCGTGTCCAAGACGTCAAATGTCACCGGTTCGCATGCATGAGGTGCGAAGTACACCGGGACGGCTTCGATGTAGCGATCAAGGAGTTGTTGCGTTCTACCGTCCGCCAACTTGATCGACGTAGGGTGTGCCTTCCTTCGAACTTGTGGTCCAAGGCCAGCCCTTTGCATGAAGGTCTGGCTAATGACGTTGCGAGTCGCGCTGCTATCCAGCAAAGCGCTGCAGGACGCTTGCCCGATTTGGATGCGGACATAAAGGAGCGGTGCGTTGTTGTCGTCGTACCGCTGCGTGCGAAACTCGCAGGCCACCTTGCTCACATACGCAAGAATGTCCCCCACCGCAACTTCGTCCTCCGTCGGCGAACTTGGTGGTGCATAGAAGGCTAGGTATGTATGGAGATGAGCGCTAAGAGCTGCGCATTGCGGCTCCGGTAAGCAGCCGGTGGAAGGGAGAGAAAGCCATGCAAAATCCTCGGGTGTCAACGGGTCCAAGTCCTCTATGTTGAACGCACGGCCGAATCCCGTGAAGGTCCACTTGAAGATGAATTAATGTTGCTGCTTCCGATCGGGGAGGAAACCGCACATACATCCTGTCCTTGGGCTCGTGAATTCAGCGAAGGTACGAGTCGGGCAGCATAGTCCTCAAAAGAATGAAGAATGGGAGGACTTGCGACGTCCGCATGTGCCCCGGAACCGAGGGAGGTTACCCGTACGGCAACCGGTTCCGTAGGCGTTGAGAGTGTCGTCGCATCACTCTCGGCGGTGCTCACTTTCCCGATTGGGCGGTACCCTTGGCCTTCGTGGGACAGCTCGCTGTCTCATGTGCTGAGCTGTTGCACCACAAAGTGCGGACGCGGTACCCATGCTCCGTAAGCCCGTACGCTGTCCAATGTCCTTGCTCTTGAGCTGCTTGCCCGGGCCCAAAAGAAGAAGTGGTGTTGGTCTTTGTCTTGCCGCGTCCTCGTCCTTTGGCGGGGCGGCCACCATTCTGGGCAGCTGCAAATCTGTCTCCCTCGTCAGACGTCGCGGCCTCGTTTGAAGTTGAAGGGTCACTAGCTGTCGCTGCTGCGACCACAACCACTTTCGACCGATGCTGATTCATGCCCTGGCCGGCAGTCGACGAGTGGCCCATATTCCTGGCTGCCAAATGCGTCACGATGATCTGCGCGGCTTTGTTGAAGAGTTCCTCACTTGTGTTGAGGTTCTCGGCAACTTGAGTTAACGCATTCTGCAACGCTGGGCACGACCTCTTGATGAAGTAAAGCTTGATGTCATCGAAGTTCATCGGCAACTTGGGCGTGCTTGCCAGCCGTTGGAACTCAGATATCCAGTCTCCGCTTGGCATGCTGTTCTGCGAAAACGTCAGCAGCTTGTCCATCGCCTGGTGCTCGGGCGGTTCTACTTGGAAACGCTTCTTCCATGCCGTCGTGAGATCTTCCCAAGTGATGTATTTGTGCAACTCGGTGACTGTACATGCATGTGCGGACAGCATGTTGTCCAACCATGCCTGACACGCGCCTCCCCAGCGGGAGTACAAATATGCATGCCGATTTGCGTCGATGACGTGGTGGATATCCAGCTTGAGTTCAAACTGGCGCCACCATTGGATGGGATCGGTCTTCGATGCGCCACAGAAGATCGGGAGCCCATCGAACTTGGCAATAGTTTCGCGTGTCGTTGCGCTAGGGCCGGCTGCTGCGGAAACCTGCTGTTGCAGCTGCTGTGCACCAGTCTTAAGTGTTCCCACGTCTATCTCCAAGACATTGACGCGGTCGACGAGATCGGAGGGGCCGACGCTGGTGTTGGCGGTGTCGACCTGCTGCTCCAGCTGCTGTATGTGCTTGAGCATCTGGTCCACCGACTGCTGTAACGCCTTGTTGGTGTGGTCGAGGGAGTGGATGTCCTCCTGCTGCGCGATGCAAGTAGCAAGGAGGTCCGTGACACGGTTGAGCAGATGAGATACCTTGCTCCCATAGTCGACGGATTCGCCGCTCTCGGCCTCCCTTTGCCAGTCCTTGGCTTGTGCATGTAATGCACCTTCCTCCCTGAATATAACTTCGCGTCGCCGCTCAGGTTCTTCATCAGCGGCCTTGGCTGCTGCTGCCGCGTGCTTCTGCCGCTGTTCTTCGGCCAGAAGACGCAGTCTCTCTGCCTCTGCCTCTCTCTTCTTCCGTGCTGCTGCTGCTGCTTCTGCCCGTTGCTTGCTTTCGGCTATGATGGCCGCCAACCGTGCCTCGTAGGGTCTCGTCAGACTCGCCTGCTTTCTGATCCATCGCTGCTGTCTGCGAGCGATTAAGTATGGTCATGCGCTGCGGGTCCCTGACGTGGCCTGCTGAAGTGAGGACTTACCAGGTCTGCAACTGCAGGTGAACGAGCAGTGAAGAAGGGCGGAGAAGGGATGGAGAGTTGGGGTGGGGAGAAGGGGAGTGGGCAATCGAATGGGTCGGCCAGATATGGAGCCACTAATCAAGAAATTGTTTTTGGAACTTTTGCAAAAATTTCGAAGAAAAGAAAAAATTTCAAATTTGCAAGTTCAGTGGGCCCCTCAAGTATCCCCTCAGCAGTTAATTAGAAGAAGAAAAATATATATTTTTTTTAATTTCAGACTGCGAATGCATCAGAATACTCAATGGAGATGATGGGAGTAGCTGAACTGCGGAAATAGCAACAAAAAGGTACCAAAAAAGAAACTTTTCGTAACAGCATTCCGGATCTCCAGCAACGAAATTCCTCCAAAAAAAATAGCGGGAAAATGCAATCCAAAAGAGAAAAAAAAAATTGATTTTGGCAGTTAGGTCAGAATCTGCGATTTGGGGGACTAATTAGTGTGTCCTAATCAACCAACCAACCAACCAATCAATCAATCAATCAATCAATCAATCAATACTTACCCAATCAATCTTGGGTTGTCACCGCACTTGTGTCAGATCAGATTGTCCTGATTCACAAGCGTGGCTCTGATACCAAAACTGACGCATGCCCAATGGGACAATGCGCAGGGAGCCAAGGATCCGCTATGTGATGAAAAGGACTGAAATGGACAATGCGAGGTCAGTGCAGCATCAACAAGCAATGTACACTCTGAATACATACACGATGGCACAAAATGGCACAGTGGAAGACTTGAAAAGAAGATCTGATCTGATCTGGGCTGACCCGGCATCCATCATACATCACACATGAGAGAGGGAGAGGAGGGACCGCAATCATGAAAGAAAGGTCCCTCCTCCGAACACATACATGGGGAGATACCACGGATGAGAGATGGGGGAGGGACGAGAAGAGGAGGAAAGAGGCGAGGGAGTTGACCAAGATCGCAATAGCGAAGTCCCAAAAATAGTCCCTTGCCGAGTGTCCAATCAATGTCTGTCCCAGAAATGTCGAATCAGATCCTCGGCAAT